ATCATTATCATCACCACCACCATCATCATCATCATCATCATCATTATCATCATCATCATCATCATCATCATCAAAATCTCGTTTTTCTCCCCACCCCCCATTCCCCACCCCCACTTTCCCCAATTCCAGTCCCAGGACACCATGCTATGCCCACCACTTTGACCTCGCAGCACCACCACCACAGTTCCCACAGTCCCCACGGAGGCCACACCCCCACCACAATACAGCACCAGCAGACGTCCCCGTGGGTCCACATCTTCACCCCTTCGCCCAACCCAGCCCCTGCCAGCCCCGGGGCCGGAACCATGGCCGTCACTTCCGTCGGAAACATGACTGCGTTCACTGATCCGTCTGCTGCTTTGGCTAATGGTGAATGTTTTGTTTGGGATTTGCTGCCAGCTTCGTTTTTTCGTTTTTAAAAAAAAATTTTAGGGGGATTGTTTTGTTTGTTTGTTTGTTTGTGTGTTTATTTGTTTGTTTGTGTGTTTATTTGTTTGCTTGTTCGCTTGTTCGCTTGTTTGTCAGAAAGGGAGACACAACATCAGATCATTAAACGATGTTCAGTGCCAACTCTCGCACGTAGGCTGTGTGTCACATTTAGATAATTCAGGTTTTGTCAATTTTATTGAGAATTTTTTTCAACACTTGCAATACAAATTGGGACGTATTAAGTAATGAAGATTAGAGGAGGTGATTTTTTGTTGTTGTTTTTTTTAAGTAGAGGTTTTACGACGCTCGCAACTGCATAGGGTCATATGAGCGCCAGAAGATTTGAGGTGTTACAAGAGAGTAACAAACATAAAAAAAGAAGTAGGGGAGATAAGGACGATAGATATTTGATAGGAAAGAAGAAGCAAACCACATCAGAGCACCAGCCAACCACTCACAAAGGAGGTGTTACTAGAGAGTAATATACATAGAAAAGAAAGATGTGGGGTGAGGACGATATATGCTTGATAAGAAATACGGGGCGAGCCACACCAGGGCACCTGCCAACCATCCACAAATCTGAAATAATGGTGAGCAAAAATAAAACATAACTTGTTTGTACGTCGTGAGTGTTGCTATAGACATGGGTCAGATGTTGAATGCCATTATGTTGTGTGTACTTTTCTTACTAAATATAGTTTTTAAAAATCCCTAAGACGGCCACCTAATGATAATGACTTAAGTAGTTTTCTTGATAAAGAGAATGAAGTCCTACATACTGGCACTTTAATGTAAAAAAAAATACGCAAGGGAGGAAATAAGAATATAATAATAATAATAATTGCATTTATATAGCGCATATCCAAGCTCAAAACATGCTCTATGCGTGCGCTTTACACTATAGTATTACCCCAGCAGACCATGGAACACTCCGAAACATTCTCAGCCTCCCGGGAAGCATACAGTGCAAGCAGCTGATTAAGCGCTCACACACTAACAAACTGACAAGATCTTTCACTGTCTATAGCCGGGTACCCATTTCCACCTGGGTGAAGTGAGGAAAATTTGTGCAAAGTGCCTTTCCCAAGGACGCAACGTCGGGCCCCTGACAGGATTCGAACCCACGACCTTATGGTTGCTAGTCCGAGAGCCTAACCACTAGGCCACCGACAGAGGCTGTTTGTACAGGCAATTGTCTTATACAATGTGTTAGAAAAAAACGACTGCAGCTGTAGAATCTAGATTAGTTTTCAGACGCAGCTAGTGTGGTAGAAAAGTCCATCGTCCGGAGAAGACGTGTCCTTGAATCTGACGATGTAACTTCGTGAAAATGTTACCTTGTAAGAAACATTGAGATTGTCGTAGTTTCATAAAAGTATTGGAGTCGAATTTAAAGAGAGTCAACAGTCATTTGTGAGGCAGCGTGGTGGAATCAGGCTCTCGTCAATTTTGGGGCATATTGAGTTATTGGTATCATCTTAAAGCGTGTTCGTTTGTCTTGTTTTCAATGAAAAAATTACCCGTCCATCTTCAACAGAAGTGGGGATATTTTGAATTGAAGGAGGTGGGGGTCACCTGGTTTAAGAGGTAAAATTTGCGAGAATATGGCCGCCAAGGCTTGGTAAATACAAACCTGGAGAGTCTATGGAAACCTTAAATTTATATCATTGTGTCTTTAATCAACATTTTTCGGTGAATCCTCAAAGGAATGTGTTTGTAAAAGAACCTAATGTGTTGAGCCAAAAAACACAAATTTGATAAAAACTGCTAAGCAGGGAGAAAACTGCCGTTTTCTTCAATTTCATTATTTTGACAAGAGCCTGATTCCACCACGCTGCCTCCCATTTGTATCTTCTTTTTGTAGGAGGAGGGTGTTTGTTTTTTGTTTGTTTTTTTTATCCCGTTTTTTTTTTACCTCTTTGGGGGGAGGGGGAGGAGGGGGGTAATCAAAACGTTATAGCTCTGGAAATAGGGTCAATATTGTTTCAGAAGCGAAAATCAATTAGATATTGTGCAAAATAAAATGTAATTAAAAAGCATTTTTAACCGTACGGTATATCTAAAACGAAGCTTCGACGCCTATGGGTTTTTTATCGTCGATTCCTTTAAATTTGGACTATTAAAATTTACTCATACTGATGCTTACTTTTCGTGAATTCCAGGCACAGCCTCAGTTACAGGGAACAGAGCTACAATTTCAGTAAGTGGAAAACTTAATTAACCTATGAAGTGATACAATGGTATAGATTTCACGACCCTGTCAACACTGTTGGGTTATTTAAGAGGAAGGACCTTCGAGTTTAAACGTCCATCTCCGAAAGGACTGAGCCAAATAGGAAGTTCATGTAAAGTGCCTTTCCCAAGGACACAAAGTCGGACGAGCTGTTGTTGGGTCCTCCGAACCTGCAATCTTACAATAGGTCGCTTTTAAGGGTAAGTGGGCTAACCCAGATTTCGGAATGGTGGGGGGGGGGTCCAGATATATTGGCCTACACTAAAAGTGGATATTGCCCTACCTATAGGAGAAGTTTGGTTTCATTTGTGTGAATATTTGTTATAGAGAGAACTCTCCTTGTCTTTTAAAGAGAATGAACAAAGGGCCAAAACTTTACCTGCATTTTTCTCCAAAAGAGCATTTTTTTAGATATGCCCTTTGTGCTTAAAAGCGACAAATTACGGATGTGCCAGCCTAACCACAAGGCCCCGATACCATGAGCATTTCTGAGAAACTTCCTTCTGCTCTCTTAATAAGATACAGAAGGGGTCAGAAAAATGATTGGCTTGAGTCACGTTTTTGCCCCCCCCCCCCCCCAAAAAAAAAAATTAATACAAAAAGTAAAAAAGCAAAAACAAAACAAAACTAGAGTTCTTTTTGTGACGACATACTTCACGGGAGACAACACAACACAGCATTTGATT